AAAACATTATAAAACATGTGTGAAATACAAGTATTAATTAATTAATAACTACTACAGGTCCTATTGAAACCTATTATTATGCACAATTAATATATGCTAGTAAAAATGGCAAAAACAGAACATGGATACAGATAGAGATATCAAATATATTTTTTTCATCAACAGTTAACCACAAAGTGCTTATAGACTGAATAGTGAAAGTAAGATTTACCAAATACTTCATTTTTATCTACTGAGTCAGAAGTACTGAGTTTCAATATGCATCTATTCTCTTTCTCTGTAACTACACACAAACTATATTTGGGAAGTTTCCAAGTATAACCTAAATCATTTTTATGATCTCATCCAATTGTTTGTACACACTAAAAGGAACACAAAAAGGAATTTCAATGACTGGGAGATTATAAGTCTGGGTATGCAACAGTAAAAAAAAAAAACCTAACACAGAAAACTTATAAGAGCAAAGCAACTTGAAGGCTTCAACCATCCAGTTTGGTTATCATGGGTCCCAATTTTCATTAGACAATCTGGATTTCACCAGTACAATTATCTTCTTTTTACTGCAAAGCAACTTCCAATGAAACATGTGTAAATAAATAAACTTGTGTAGTAGCACTAACAGGAGGATCCCCGGATCTTGGGGGCCAGTCAGCCCAGGGTAGCCTAATCAGCAAATCCCAAGCCATTGAGCCTGGTCTCCACTCATGTACAGGTACAACCATAAATATGTATTTCAAATTTAGCCCCCTTTTTACATTGTTTAGTTTACTGAAGAAAACCGAAATCATGAAATTTTGCAGGAAAAATAGACGGATCTGGAAAATATATTGTTAGATAGCTCAAACTCAGAAAGAAAAAAGCCAAATATTCTCCCTACATACAAATAAATACATATACATCTGTACACAGATGTAAATATGGGTAAAGTATACAAATCGAGAGAGGAGACCATGAGAGGGTAATAGTAAGTGATGAGGAAGGATGAAAATTAGATAAAAGGACATATAGGGAATGAAGGAGAAGAGTCTGGAGGGAGGAAAGCAGGGCAGAAAGAGGGATGGAAGAGATGAAAGGCAAGAGAACCACAAAAACTGCTTTACTCAAATATGTCTTAATGGTATCTAACAGATTATATTCTGATTTTAAAAATAAAAACAAAAATATATGATTTGGGGCTGGAGAGATGGCTCAGTGGTTAAGACCAGTAGCTGCTCTTCCAGAGGTCCTGAGTTCAATTCCCAGCACCCACATGGTGGCTCACAGCCATCTATAACATGATCTGATGCCCTCTTCTGGCATGCAAGTGTACATGCAGAACACTCACATATAAAATATAAATAACTAAAATTAAAGATATAAAAAAAAATCTCATCCTGATCTCCTTCAATCCTTTATATTTACATATTTTCAAAAATGTGATTGTACACACTGGCTATACAAACGAGCATCTAGCATGCATATAAATGTATATATATTTAACCTATAGATTATTTTAAAAATATATAAATAGAAATGAAAAAGGAATGAGGAAAACAGGGTAACCAAGAAACCTATAACAAAGTTCTCATTAAATCGATTTAATTGCTTAATTAAATAGATTTCTAAGACTCACTAACCTATCACAGATTTTGCTAGTCTTAATTTCCCTCCAAAGAACCCAAATTAAAAAAGAAAAAAAAAAAGGCAAACCTAATAAAACCACCTATTAGCACTCAACCACAATAAGTCAAAGCAATTCTGAGTAGAAATAAGATGGTTTTCGAGATGCTTATTTCTTTTAGGTACCTAATAAATTTTTTGAACTGTCAAATAATATATAAGACAAAAATCTGTTAATAAATGTCAAGTGAAATAAGGTACAAATATAATCAATCAAATCGGAGACAATGAGATTATAAGGCTAGCAACAGAGAAAAAGGAAAAGCCATCCTTTTAACCCTCCCCCCTGCTGTGTCATGGTAAGGCGTCACTCTGCTCATAAAACAGGAAGATGGCTTGACCTGAGCTGAATCCATGGCACAGCGAAATGCTTTATAACTGAATTTCCCTGTCCAACTAAATAATTCATTATTTTTAATGAATTTCCTCTGTTCTGTAAGTAGTTTTAGCAAGTCAGCTGAAAGTCAACCATGATAAACTGGGAAACATCAGAGAAAGTTTTCAAGTAAGTCCATTTAAAACTTGCTTAGGTGTCTACTTTTCTTCTTCTATTTATTACCCTTCCTTCATAAAGCCTGAGATGAAATTTTATGGGACTCACTTTTAAGTGGGCACCCACAGTTGCCTAGACAGTGCCATCTGCACTCAAGTCTCTTTATCACACTAATAAATTTAATTCAGCTAATGAACAGTTACCTACTAAGCCAGCTCCTATATTGAACCCAATTGGCCTATAAGTAAGCCTCATTCTCCTTGCCACAAAGACTCGGAATCTCAGGCCTAAGATCACAGCCACACCCTGTGTTTGGTTTAAGAACAAAACACAAGATTCCAGTCCAAACAAACACATGGGGAGTTCTTGAAATTTCTAAGAATATTTCTAAGATGAATAATCTTCTCTTTTAAGAAAATGACCTAAAGCGATAACTTCTTTTTTTTTCATTTTATTTATTTTTATTATTAGTTACATTTTATTAACTCTGTATCCCAGCTGTATCCCTATCCCTCATTCCCTCCCAATCCCACCTTCCCTCCCTCATCTCCTCCCTGCCCCTTTCCAAGTCCATGGATTGGGGAATACCTCCTCCCCTTTCATCTGACCCTGGTTTATCAGGTATCTTCAGAACTGGCTGCAATGTCCTCCTCTGTGGCCTAGCAGGGCTGCTCCTCCCTTAGGGGGTGAGGATGTCAAAGAGCCCACCATTGAGTTCATGTCAGGAATAGCCCCTGTTCCCCTTACTAGGGTACCCACTTGGTTACTGAGCTACCACGGGCTACGTCCGAGCAGAGGTTCTAGGTTATATCCATACATGGTCCTTGGTTGAAGGAACAGTCTCATATAAGACCCCTGTGCCCAGATAAATTTGGTCCTTGTGGAGCTCTTGTCCTCTCCCCCTTCTTTCATATGATTCCCTGCACTCTGCCAAAGGTTTGTTTACAAGTCTCCACATCTGCTTTGATACACTACTAGGTAGTCTTTCAGAGGCCCTCTGTGGCAGGCTCCTGTCCTGTTACTTGTTTTCTCCTACATTCAATGCCCATCCCATTTGATTTCTAAGTGAGGATTGATCCTCTTACCCCAGATCCTCTTTCTTGTTTATCTTCTTTAGGTGTATTTTGTTTATCATATCTTATAGGTGAGTATAAATAAGTGAGTATATACCATGTGTGTCTTTCTGCTTCTGGGATACCTCACTCAGAATGATCTTTTCTAGATCCCAAAATAAAACCAAATACTCTAAATCGGTTAGAAGAAAAAGTGGGGAAGACCCTAGAACTCATTGGCACAGGAGACAACTTCCTGAACAGAACACCAACAGCACAGGCTCTAAGAGCAACAATCAATAAATGGGACCTCATGACACTGAGAAGTTTCTGTAAAGGAAAAGACACTGTTGTCAGAACAAAACGACAGCCTACAGATTGAGAAAAGATCTTCACCAACCCTATATCTGACAACAGCAATTTTTTGGCCGTTACGGATGGGTCATGTACACCACTGAAATGAATGGCAAAAACACATTCTGGGATTCAAAGGAAGCATGGTGCCTCCTGAATGCAACAAGTCCAGTTTGGCGGGAGGATGGAGTGAGGGGAAGGTGAGAAGAAATGGAAGAATAACTATGTCCCAGAACACTGTAAGCAATTCACTTTTTATCTAAAGTCCTTTGGAAGTCACTGGAAGGTAAGGCACCGCTGGCTTCACTGCATGACTAATGACCCTCCAACAACAAAACCACCGACTGCTCGGAAATTCATCTGGACAAACCATAAATTCAACGTGACTGGCACTCCAGAGCAATATGTTCCTTATTCCACCACTCGAAAGATTCACGAATGGGTCCCACCTTCCACACCCTACAAGTGACAACAGTGGAGCCCAGTTCCGGCATGTACAGGATGGTGCAGTGTTTCCTTTGGAATCACATCTCTACAGCTGACCATGAAGGTGATTAAAGTTGCTTGACCAAGAAAAAAAAAAAAAAGAAAAGAAAAAAAAGAAAGAAACAAACAAACAAAGAAAGAAACAAGAGAGAACAAAGAAAGAGAAACAGACAAGGGAGCACAGATCTGTAAGCAGATGCTGGCGATGCAGGGACCAGAGACTCCCTCCCCTGCCAGTTGGCCCATCCAGCCAGTGAGCTCAAGGTACAGTGAGATACCCAGTCTCAAAAAAAATAAGGTGAAAAGTGATCAAGGATCAATATCCAATATCAATCTCTGGCCTTTACACCCACATACACATAAAAATACATACATATATGTACACAAACTAACAAGTAAAAATAAAAAATATTTCCTTACCTTTTAGGTCTGTATCGTTTTCTGCAATAACACTCTAATTAATCCATATATAAAACTAAAAATAAAATTATGTTGCAGAATCTTTTCTTTAACCCCTTACCTTAAATAAACAACCACAAAGACTACAGTAGTAAATTCTGAACCTTCAAAAGAGCAAGTTCTAATGAATGTGCTGGAAGATGCTGTAACCCAGCACTCAAAATGCAAAAAGAGGAGGATCAAGACTTCAAGGCCAGCCTGGGCTTTGTATATACATACTGCAGCCTTCTCTCAAGCCATGGGATGAGGATAACGCTGAGCACAACCACAGCACTGGAGAAATAGTTCAAAACTTAATAAATAGGTAGATAGATAGATAGATAGATAGATAGATAGATAGATAGATAGATAGATAGATAGATAGATAGA